CTTGTCTGCTTTGCCATTTTACTTTTCCGCTAAGTCTTTTTTTGTTGAGTCCTTGGTGGCATCACATAAACTAGTAAAAGTGCAGTGTTTGGTTCTAGCCCTGGCTTCGCCTTTGATTCATTGCACCATTATTTTTAGCAAGATTTCTTTATGTTTATCTTTATGGATTAAAGATATTGAAAGCCTTTCTTAAAACGGCCCCTTTTCATAGGTCTGGCATTCTAAACTATTTATGCCTGTTTTCTGAGGTTCATTTTATTGTTGTTGTTTGTTTATGAGAGCCACAAAAAATTTCATAAAGCACTCCTTGTAATTGTTCTTACATTTACTGTCATTATCTTTCCAAAAACAGTCCTTTCTCTGTAATGGAAAGGTGCTTCACCAAATTCTAATTTCTCAGTACTCTATTTTTCTTGTAGACCTTTTGTTGGAAGGTTCCTTCCACACACAAGCAGAAGTAATTCCCTTTGTTGGAATATATAATTGAGGCTTATTTTTTAAAAGGCAAGACCACTCGAAAATGAGAGTCAGTTAAGGATTATTATGACCAGAAACATACACAACATGTTTTATCTGGATTTCTATGAAGCAGGAGACATTTGTCTTTAATTCCTCCTTCCACTTTCCCTTTTTCTAAACCTTTACACTGTATTGGCTTTTCAGGAGTTAGATAGCAGGAAAGATATATATTTTTGCTCATTGGCTTTATTAGCAGATGTCTGATGTTATGTAGTTCTAAAGCCAGCTTTGCTTATGACGACTTAATATAGCTACTAATTTTGTCTGAACTCAATTCTGGGGAGATGCCTGCTAAATTCCCCTCCACGCCTAATTCTAATTTCAACCCATTGATCCTCCTGAAATGAGGAGTTCTTGGTCCAACCCAGCAGGCAGGGGGGATACTGGAGGGTGCCAGTGAGGGGGCTGCTGTGGGACTCCCTCCCTTCTGGGTTGGAAGAGCGTCTGGGGCCTAGAAGAATCTCAGAGCGGATTTGAATTGTGTGGATCCTGGGTATTGCTTGCCTTACAGGGATCCCTGGGTCCTGTGGGAAAAGATCAGCATTAGAAAACATGAAGGTGCCTATTTTTCCTGTTTCCCAAGGAGCTGAGGATGACCTGAAATTTGGGCCATGTCCTCTCTATTCTGAGGTTGGGTGAGGAGAAATTTCATTAGATTTCATCTGGGTGCTTTGGTCTGCAGCTACACTGCTGGTCCCCAGGGACACAGAGCCCTACACTGTCTGCATCCTCTGGGTGTTAGCCACCGAAGGCAGTCAGTGCCTGAGCACCAGCAAGCAGAGTAAAAAACAAACGAACCAACCAGCTCCATCCTTTAAAGAATGCAACATCAATAAAAGGGGAGAAAAAGCCAAAGCCAGAATGATTCCCTATCAAAATAAAGGTATTCGGGGAGATAGACCACAACATGAATGAAACTTCGTAAGAGTACTTTAAGGAAATTCTAGTAAAGCAACAAAAATACCTTAAGAAATGATTTTTTTTTTTTTCCAAACTGAAGGAATTCAAAGGGAAAGAATGGTCTTTGTAGCTACTTGAATTTGCACCTGGAAAATCAAGTGAAAGTAACATTTGACCCACACAGAAATTAAGTTATAAATGATAGAAATCAGGAGGGAAAATAAAATAGATTTATAGAATAAATATATAGAAGAGACCAAATGTGCATAATTGGCACTAGAAGGGTAAAAAGGATGAAGGTCAAACAATAGTTGCATGCACAATATATGAAATTTTTCATATATTCATAAATAAAAACGTTGTGTCTGCAGATTGAAAGGGCTCATGATGTTCTGTGCAGAATATTGAGATAAGACACATTCCTAGGGACAATCTGATAAAAATGCCCAAATCATAGGGAATCTTATAAATTTTGAGAAAGAAGTAATAGAGCCAGAAGATGCTGGAGTAATATCCATAGTGTACTAAGAAAATAGGGCTGCGAAAAGTGTCATCCTTAAAATAAAAAAATAACCTAATCCATCAAGATAATTTTCTGTTCCAGATACATCTATCACATTGTCTAATTTGTTTTTTCATAGCATTAGCACTCTTCAAAATTTTCGTTTAGTTTCTGTTTCTGTGTTTACGTCTCTCTGCTTCCCCACTAAAATGTAAGATGCTTGAACTGCAGGGCATTTATTTTCTGTTTTCTTAGCTCTTACAACAGTACATATTGATCGACAAACTGTCCATTTCAAGTTTTAGAGGTTAAAATTCTTTGTAAAATAATTTTGAAATAGGTAAAATGTTTTTAATTTGTAAGTGTGAGGCTTTTAAAAGATGCCTCATGTCATATTATTACCAGAAAAGTCAGTCTTGTCTATTTACATTTTTTATTTTTGGCTCAAAAGGAAAGATTTTTGTAAAGGCTTGTGGAAATTGTATTCAACATTTTATCCTCATAGAAGAAATGTGAAAAGCACTGTCTTTACGAACCTATTCAACTATTAAAGTATGTTTCCTTTTTAATTTCTCATTAAAATAAAATAAAAAAACCTCCAAAGCAAGAAAGCTATCTTTTTATATGTACATATGTTTATATGTATATACTTGAATGTATATATGAGATATATTTTATACATGCACACACACACATATATGTTTGAATGAACATCCATTCAAGTGAGTAACTGCTATGGTAGTGGACTAAGTCATGTTTTTAGTTCTATATACCTTGATGAGCTGCCTCCTATGTAACATAACATGTGATGCTGGATGTTCAAGGAGCTCACAGTCTAGTGTGTGAGCCGCAGAGTGATGCTGTCTCAGTGCCACCCTTGGGTGGGAAGGCAGAAGAGCGCGATGGATCAGAACATGACCTCCAGCGTTAGAATGCCTAGGCCTCAATGCCAGATCCCCCACAACAGGAGAGTGATATAATCTATCTAATTTTCAGTTTTCTTTGTATAGAGAGTAATACAATACTAAACATTCAATCAGTACTTTTATTATTAGGTATAAAATGTGAATGAAAAGGGAGCCAAAAAATTCTTTAAAAAATGTAGATATAATAAGATAAGACAAAGATACTCAGTATTCCTTAATAAATATCTCTCAAAAAAAAAAAAAAAAAAGATACTGCAGGAGATATAATCAGAGCCAAGGAAAGAATATCTCAACCAGAAAGTGGTTCATAGACAAAAGAAGCTTGTGATTTGGAGTCCAATAGGCCCGAGGTCTATCTAGTATGTAATGCCAACAACTGTGTAACCTCAGGCAAATCATTAAAATTCTGAACCTAAGAGTTCCATCTCTATGACTGGAATAATCTATTCCTGGGGCTACTGTAAAGTTTCAGTGGTAACATGCAAATCCCTTAGAACAGTGCCCAGCATATAATAAGCACTCAATAAATAGTTATTATCTATCATATTATTGTTTTTTAAGAAGAGAGACAAAAATGCACATTTTTGTCTTTCTCCACGTATGTGCAGGTAAGGGGAGAATAGTAATGCTATTTTATGATTATATTGGGTGGATGAATGCATCATAGTTTAATAACATTTGAGCCTTAAAACTCTACAATGAATTCCCCTTATTTAGATTTCTTGTTTGCCAAGAAACTGGTATGGATGATATATTCTTAACTGTAAAATTACCTCAAAGAACTAAAAGTAGACCTACCATTTGATCCAGCAATCCCACTACTGGGTATTTACCCAAAGGAAAAAAAGACATTCTATAAAAAAGACACCTTCACCAGAATGTTTGCAGCAGCACAATTCATAGATGCAAAGATGAGGAAACAACCTAAGTGTCCATCAATACATGAGTGGATTAATAAAATGTGGTATATGTATACCATGGAGCACTACTCAGCCATAAAAAATGGTGAACTAATAATACCTCTTGTATTAACCTGGATGGAACTGGAGATCATTCTTCTAAGTGAAGTATCACAAGAATGGAAAAACAAGCACCACATGTACTCACTATTAAATTGTAACCAATCGAACAACACTTATGTGCACATATGGAAATAAAACTCATCGGGAATCAAGCAGGTTGGGAGGGGGAAGGAGGGGATGCGTAAATTCACACCTAACAGATGCAGTGCGCACTATCTAGGTGATGGGCACACTCGTAACTTTGACTCAAACTGTACAAAAGCAATTTATGTAACCAAAACATTTGCACCCCTGTAATACTCCGAAATAAAATAAAATAAAACAATTTAAAAGGTCTTTAAAAAATATTCTGGCATTAAAACCAATCTCTCTTCCATACAGTGCTATACTAGCTAAATTCTCATTGATATGGGGAGGGATTATCTCTCTTTGGAGGGCATAGGCATTTCTGAGTGACAGACAGTCATTGAAACAGGGAGAAAAGGCAATGAATAGGGTATGAAAGTTCTTACTGTTGTACATGAGTAATTAGAGAGAGACCCTGATAACTTCGATGTATGGCCTCCACTAGTATCATTCTCCTGGCATGTTTGGGTGGGGTCGTGAAGTATCAGAAAGCTTTCAGGAAGACCAGATTGTCAGGTCGGACAACTAAGGGAACTCCTGAGGCCCAATTTTCTCTCTAGCCTCTGTTACTGTCACAGCTTAAAATTCAAAGGCTGAACTGAACTTGATTCCAAATCCAGGGTGCGTCTCTTAATATTGAGTATAAGCCCTATCCTAAATACATTTCAGTGACCTATTTTTAAATTTTACATACCATCACCCCTCATTAGTTCATAACCTGACCCATTCTTACGATGGCTTTAATCATTTCTGGAGAGTTCACCATGTCATTTTTAATTAGCCATACTTAAAAACTTGCCTTCATGAACAATGTAGGAAATCTCACCAATAGTTGTGGAAAGATTTAACAGATCTAACTCTTTTAGTAAAGGCAAAAGAAAGGAACTTGGTAGCTCTATGTGTATTGCTGTTGCATTAGCAGAGTTAGAATACCTGATTTCTGTCGCATTGCCCTTTAGCACTTTTCACTATTATTAATATTTTGATGTCTCTTTGGATTTGCAGAACACAGTGACGTAGACCAGGAGACAGCACTGGCCGGCGCACAGGGCTTCACGGGCTGCCTCTCTGCGGTGCAGCTCAGCCACGTGGCCCCTCTGAAGGCTGCTCTGCACCCCAGCCACCCAGCCCCGGTCACTGTTACAGGACACGTGACTGAGTCCAGCTGTGTGAGCCAGGCTGGCACAGATGCGACATCGAGAGAAAGGACACACTCTTTTGCAGGTAGGTAACCCAGGGCTCTTCCTCTGCCCAGTCACAAACCCAGCTTTTCTGTTTGATGTCGAAAACTTCCGATGTTGCCGTTAGGCTACCTTCTCCACATGGTTTCTTAAAGTTGGTTTTGCTTGTTTAACTTTCAGTTTTCTTTCCCATTTCTTTTCTAAAGTCTCAATTTCTCAGTTGTGTGGGCCATTGCAGTTGCCATTGCTTAAATTGAAAATTATAGAGCTCTCACAGTCACCTCCATCATTCCGTTCTGGTTTAAAACATTTATGAATTTTTCAAAATTTCTTCTTTTTACTTGTCTATATCACACTCTCCTCCTTTTGTGCTTTAACTACAGATCATTCTGGAACAATAGATGACAAAGAGCCCCTAGCTAATGCAATCAAAAGTGACTCTGCAGTAATTGGAGGTAATAGGAAGCATGAATGAGCTATCATAACTAATAATGGTGAATATTTAGCATTGTAGAAACTATCTATGAATCTACACATATCCCAAGTGCCAGGCACTGAGTCGTGAGGACAATGAGGGGGTTTACTATTTGTACATTGTGTCTTATAGAATCTGGATGAATTCCCTGTTTCTTTGGAAATTTTCAGTGTAAATAACTGGCAATTTCACGGAAGCACCACACTCAAAGAACAGTAGCGAGGCTGTGTATTAATGACTATTATTTAGCTTGAAAATGGTCATCAGCAATCTTTAGGGAATTCTGAATGTATTTGAGTGCAGGTCATTTTTCTTGGCTGGGACATATCCCTGCTTCTACAAGGGTTCATGTAAAAAGTAGAAAAAACCCTGAGATTAACATTAGAAATGTATATTTTGTATTGCCTTAATGCTTAATAAAGGAGGTATTTACATAGTTTAGATGCTCCCATCAGTAAATATTACACTTTCAGTTGCATTTTTATCAAATATTAGGTTAATGGACTTAACATGATTAGTAGTAACTTTAAATTGCAGAATTAACACAAAAACTTTTGAAGTATATCTCTGTGGCTGTGTGATAGCGTATTATCTGAGATGTAATGTATTCAAAACCAACTCCAAAAATAAGGCTTTTTTTCTTCCTGATTAATGCTTTTAAGAATGTTATTAATCAGATAATGGAAATGCTAAGAGGTTCACCTTTCTCCACACACTGAATGTGATACGGACATACAAAAGTAAATAATTATTCTATTACATTGCCGGATAATGTGGTTATTCATATGCTTGGGCAACTAATGTGGACCTTATACCTGATTCATTTGGGTCTATTTTTCATACTCTTACTCCTCTAGACGTAGACTTCTTTCAAGTAGTTAGGATTTTATTCAGACAGTGAATACTAGTGTTCAAATCTTTGTGAGGATATTAACAGCCCCCATTTCAGTCCCTTTTCTTTTTCTCAAATTAATGATGTGCATGTTAAAGATACAAAAAATAAGATCCTCGCTTAGTCACCTAACAAGCAAACATTATTTAAAAACAAGCAAACAAAAAAAAACCCTGTTTGAGGAGTAGTTAATAACTACATGTCTAAAAGAAATGCAATATACAGTAAAAACTCATTTAAATCTATAGTGTTCACAATGTGCTCACTGTTTTAAGCTAGAATTTCTAGTTAAACAAATTGCCTCAGACTCATAATAGTGCTTTTTCTAGGCATTCAACTAGTATAGATATACGTAAATAAAGATACAAAAATAGATATAAATACAGACTGGCAGATAGTCAAGCCCATGTTAGAACAAAATATTTAATCTTTAGACTAGTGTTGCTTTGGTCAGATCATTGGTGAGATTTACAGAGTTAGAAACGAAGGGTGTTGACAAGTCATTCTAGTGTTATTCTTGAATGGAAACAAGTTATGGTTCACCTGTGGAATTCTCACTTAGCTCAAATGCATAGGACAGAGATAGACAATATGCAAGGTTTGCATCTCGGGGTCTCGCCAGGGTTCATGAAACCAGTGGCGTCTGGTTTGAATCATTGCAGGGACTAAGCACTGGACGCAGAGCAGCTGGAAATGGCCGTCTAAGCTCAGAAGGCCTTGTCTGGGCCGCATGTAATTTATCTGCTGGACACAGCATATCATCCTCCGGTGTGTCACTCAGTCTCGTAGCATTGTGGTAGAATTCTTTGCTCGTTGTCTAGGAACTCATAAATTACACATGCTATTTAATAATAATTAATCCATGGAAAGATTTTCCAAATTGGCTAATCTCCCTGTGTTCTTCATTTTAGTTGATGGTTTTCTTCACTCACAAACAAATTAAGTAGCATAAAATGGGACAATTGCTTTACTAAGACATTTAAAAGTGGTGACCCAGATGTCGTAGAGGGTTTCTAGCCAGGATATCTAGATATGGATGGACAGATTCAGACAAAGAGCAAGCTACACATTTTTTTCATAAAAACACGTTCTCATAGTGTTTCAGATACATCATAGAGTACAGGGGCTGGTCATATTTTATTCATAATATCTTATTTATTTTTTATGTATATATTTTTGATATAACAGGTGAGATCAAGGTTTTCCTTGACCAAAACAAATTCTGACATAATACCTTTCACAAATTAAAAGAGAGAAATCACATACATGGAGCAAAAAATTCCAGAGACCATCCCTGATTTTGACTGTCTGGGCCAATGTAATGTTCATTTTGTAATTGCAGTGGCCTGTTCTCTGTATCGTACTTCATCATTTTTCACAATGAAATTGTTCAGAAAGGCTCTCTTCAAGCCGGAGGCCTAGCACTAGACAATGGAAATATTTATAGCAACTCAACTGATTATTTTTTTAAAGATGAGAGACAAAATATATAACAACAAATAAGTATTCTGATTAAAACTACTTATTAATTTACATGACTAATAATAATAAAAGTAACCATATCCATTAGTAAATTCTTCAGATTTCATGTACAGAATTTGGTTACCACATTTATATTAGGTTAATCAGCATGGAATCACTACTTTTCTCAGGTAAGGCTGACCTAGCCCCAAATTGGCTTGGCCATTGGCCGTGTTATGGTTGGCTATTGTGAGTCTGCCTAGCAAATCGCATGCTCAGAAATGTACAGTGACTGATAAAAACCTTCAGATCTTTGACTTGGCTGCTCTCCATTATGGTTGTATACACCTGCTTTAAACTCAAATGGAGCCTCAGCTTTACAATATGAGGTTTGATCATAGTTCGTCTAAAAAAATCTATTCTCGTCTTTAATAAAAAACTACATCAGTGTCTACTTCCACTGATCTCACCAGAAAAGTCTTTAGATATTAGGAAACTCTCAAATTCATGGTGACAGAAAACAGTTTTCTAAATTCTATTTTTCATTTGAAGCTTGAATTTTATCATTGGCAACATATGTTGTTTTGTTGTCTTTCTCGAAGTGACAGATTTATTTCATTCATTTTAGAGAAAATATCCACCAGATAGCCAAGTCTGAACAACTATCATTTGTCTATTAATCATTCTTTCAAATAAAAATGGTGTTATGTGAAGCAAAAAGTAACTAGTTCAGTTCACAACTCAGACGTTCACACGGTGTTTTTCCTGGAGATGATCATCATACCTAAGAGTGCATTAGAAGAACTTTGTGTATATTTTTACTGCTTCCTTAAGGACATTCTTAGACGAATTTGGCTTTTTTCTTTTTCCTGGGAGTGCCTGGCAGTGCAATGTCTTCTACTTCATGAATTCAATGACTGCTATTATCGTTTGTTGTTCTTGACTTTAATTCCCACTAAGTACCAGAAATTTTACCCAAACCTCCTTTTATGGCATGAGTGGAAATGTAACACATTTATTCATTGTCAGACTTTACACACCGACCTTGTGAACCCCTTCAAAGTGTACCGGGGACTGCCAGAGGGTCACAGGTAACACTTTAAGGACTCCTGACTTAATGCAATGCCAGGGTTTGATAACCACTGGCATAGCTAAGAATCGTAGTACTTAAAATTTTTATTTACAACCAGAAGTTTCAAAAAAAATCAATATTCTTCGTATTGAAAAAATTTAAATATATCTATATGTCTCTTAATATATCTATGTTTTATTAGTCAGGATTTTTAATATATATAACCCACTCCTGCCATTCAACAGTATAACAAATTATTGAAAATCAACTTCATTAAAATTTTTATATATTTAGTCATAAAAACACTTTAATCCTTTTATGATGTTGCTACTACTCTATAATTTCAAAATAATTGAAACTTATTTGTATCTTAATATAAAGTAGCCACTTGGCTTTAGAGACATGTAGCTAAAACCTTATTTTAAATATAAATGCACCAAGTAAATCCAGTATAATTTGCATTCAGAATAAATGGAGATGCACCTACAAGGATGATAGAACTCAGAAGTAAACTCAAAATGTTATGATACTGCTTGAACCAGAAATGCCTCAAGTTTTCGTATTTCCAATTTATATGTAGTTGATGCTTGATTTAATTAGAAAAGAATCATATCATGACTTATTAAGCAATGAAGTCAACACAGTTTCTGTTCAGACAGAAATTCTGACTTTATCTTTCTTTTCTCCTCTCTCACTAGGTCTGATAGCTGTTGTGCTCTTTATCTTGCTTTGCATCACTGCCATAGCTGTCCGCATTTATCAGCAGAAAAGGTTATACAAAAGAAATGAGGCAAAAAGGTCAGAGAACGTAGACAGTGCTGAGGCTGTTTTGAAAAGTGAGCTTAATATACAAAATGCAGTGAATGAAAATCAGAAAGAGTACTTCTTGTGATGGGCAGCGATGATTTAACTTATAATTATGACCGTTTGTTTTAATAGCCAGGGGCTCTCAATGGACAAAAAAATAATGTTCTTACACTGATTGTACAAGTAATGGATTTGTAGCACTGCCGTCTTGCCATGTCCAGTCTTGGAAGGGCTCCGGGAAGATTCGTCCAGTGACGTATTTCTCATAGCAGTCACTCTACGTAACAAGGAATTAGAGATTGCTGTTAATTTCCAACTGTTCCGAGATGATCTAAAACAACTTTAACTTGCTTAATGACTACAGTTTTTATGTATGAAAACTGTAGCCCTGCTTTCTTAACCATACAATGCATAAGTTTTGTTAGAGGTAAAATCAAATTTGGGCTTATAATGACCTTGCTTTATTTGAGAACATATGCTGTGTTTGCTTTAGTCTCCCCAGGGTGTTATTCATAGACCTGGAACTGCTTCTCAGATCCTGTTTGGCTGGTGTTCACATCTTCAGTGGCCACGAATATTTAAATCTCTTTGCTTTTCTGCGTGTTACATTCAATACAATACATCAATAGTCTCGAAAAAAGTTTTCTAGTCCTTGGTTTGTTCGTTTTGCTGTTTTTTTCCTATTTGACTCTTCTTAATAATTTTGAATACATTGGGTTTTGAGCATCGGACTTCAACTCTGAACATTCGATTCATACATAAAAAGTCTCAGAAAGTGCAGTGTTTGTTAGTATGTGAATTTTAAAAAGTTTTGATTTAATTTGCTGTCATTGTTTGATGGTGACAGTAGTTAAGACCCCGAGTAATGCCAATTTCCCAAAGAATATAAAATGTTTTCAATTAAAGTTGATATAAGAAAATTCTTGACACAGCAAAATATTATTTTTAATTACAACTATAATACCTCAAAATGAAATAATATACTTCTGAGAATATTTTTCCCCAAACCTTACGTAAGTTTTTTTTAACAGGTTTATATTTCTGTTTTTCTAAAGTTTATCACCAGCTTTGCTTTGATCTCCCATGACTGTATTCCTTCTTATAGATTAGGACAAATGGAGACAAATTGAAGTATAGATCTCTACTCTCCGTTCTAAAATATATACCCCTTCAGGCATACATTTTGCTGTGCATTGAACTCTAATACATATATTTTTTTAAAATATGAGCTGCAACCATGCCCCCTTTCCACACAAACAGTAGAGTAATTAGAGGATGCTCACTCCAAGGGAAGACAGTATATTATATGATCTATACTAAATCTGTCATTCTGGTCACTTCTCATCTAGGATGAGGGAGTTAATTTCTCAACAGTTACCAAGAATCAATATAATCCACTGTCTATACATTCTGATTAGGGTGTCTGTATACATTTGGAGATCAAAGAATTATTAATAACCTTATGAACTGTTATAATAATTAATTTTGAGGCCATGTAAACAAAGTGCTTGCATGGACCTATGTTTGAATTCCATAAGCCAATTACATAATAAAGGCACTTTACTATCCATTCTCACACCTTCAAGTGCCTCTCAAGATTGGGTTTCTTAGTTTGTCCACACCAGAACAATTTGGAAATATGTAAATTCAGCATTACTATCAGCTTATGTTCCATCTTTTCCTTGTTAACTGTTCTTGTAAAACTTGCCTGTCTTTTCTCATAGCACTATATTCATATTGCTGTTTCTATAAATGTTTAACTAAATCTTAAGGACCTGAATTAACATAGTAGTTTATGAAGTATCTATGTTGGTAAATGGTATACTTTTTTTTTTTTAATTGGAAGAAGACCTGTGGTGGCAAGGGAAGGATTTAACATAGAAATGGTAGTATTTATTCGATGCAAAGCTGAATGAATGCAAACATCATCATGGCTCTGACTCTGTTGCAAGTGTTCATCTTATCTAGTAGCAGTATTAACCTCATTGGTAGCTGGAATGTAGACAGGTTTATAGATGGTGAAACCTCATAGCCCTCCTTGGTCTGCACTGCTAGAGACAGCATTATGGCATCAAAACATACTGATATATCATATGCCATAACTTTGATCTCCTGATTTGTAATCTATTCCATCTTTTTTCTTAATAAAATGCATTTTTTAAATAAAATGCAGAATATATTTTAAGAGATGTTGTATGAAAATTTACAATTAGGAAATCATACTGGATTTCTTTTTCTTATAATGGTAAAAATATGTGTAGACGTATGCCTTCTTTATTGGTGTGTGTGTGTTTAAACCTTTTGGTAGATTCTGTAATTATTATGAACTGTCAACAAATGCTGCAGTTATAATTTATTTTTCCTTTTAAATGGACCAAAAGATGAAAAAAAAAGTAGAATAATATTTGTTGATTGTATAAGTAAAGTCAAGTTACTCAAGATTTAACATTTTGCCAGAGAACAATGATTTGGCTGTCAGCAATGGTTTGTGGAAATGTTACCATGTATTTAAATTGGGTGATTTTTTTCTTCTTGTTCAGAGAGGCCAATGAATACTTGTACAAATGCACAGATGTTGTATTGATGAATATAGTGTACTCTTCTCTGGTTTAAAACTAAAAAAAAAAATCTTTTTTTGTGATTTCAAGGGAAAAAATGAAAACAAGATATAATTAACATTCTCATTTTGAGAAGACTAAACTTTCCAATTCTCGTTTAATTTAAATTTACAATATGTAAATAGAGTGGAGTTCGTGTGGTGTTGAAGGCTTGCCTATATGAAATGAGGGTCATCAGTGAGAAATGACATATTAATTGTGCAGAAACCATGCCGTGGAAATGGCCCTTATCCATCCCAGGAAATAGTTCCATTTTAAAAACTCCTTTCTTAAGTGCTGCTCTTTAACACCCTTAATAAATTCTTTAGATGTTAAATTATAAACAAAAGCAACAAGCAATCAGACAACCAAGTGAACAGAAGTGAATGGTTTAAAATTATTTTTCAGTAGATGGTATTGTCCTTCAGAATAATAGAGTCCCTCATGGAATTGGAGAGAGCACTGAGATTATTTAATGTGAACAGTTCAGTTTTACAGACGAAAAGTCCAAGATGCAGATATATGAATTCGTGTTCCCAAGGGGACACATATCATTGTGTAAATGCTGAAGCTGTGACTACAATGTCCTTTCTGCTCACACAATGTTGATCTTTGTGCTTCTAAGACCTGGAATTTTGACAATTATTTAGAGGTATAGAAAAATCTGAAGGATCTTGATATCCTCTTTGTTCACAATAATCTATAGTTCCAGATCTTATCTATTCTCCCTTATAAATGAACATCAACCTTTATTTTATAGGTCATTGCTATTGATAGCTTTGGCTTTCTTTTAAAAATGTTTAGTAAGTTTATCGTCCTTGACTCCAGGATAGACAATTATAACTGAAGCACTTGTATTTAGCCTTTGTGAAATCCTCAATTGAGTTAGATCTGACTGATCCTTATAGAAGGATGAATTAGGCACATTCTAAATCAAAGCATGTTCGGCTCATTGTTCGACTTTCGAATTCATGTATCAACTAAATGATGAATCTACTAGATGCCTTCAATATGTCCTGGTTGTTTTCCACTTTTCCAAAGTCTGGATGACAGGGAGTCATAACGTGGCAGAAAAAGCTCGGAAGCGGATGTCTGTGTGTTGGGGATGTGCGTGGGAGAGCACACTCATGTGTGCGAGAAAGAATAAGAAATGTGGATGGGGGAATATGATACAGTTTGCATATAACATGGTAAGAAAACTGGATTTTTGGTGTATCAAGAGCTTCCTTGGAGCTTGGTTTTGAAAATTTGCAAATAAAAATAAAATGAGATAAAAAAAAATCTGACCCACAGTTACAATGGTTTCTCCAGGGCAATCTTTTTTTCTATTTTAACATTATGCTTAAGTTTTTATCAAAAATATATGCACATACTTAAAAATTAAATAGTTCAACAAATCTTGCAAGAAAAATAACAGCTCTCCATGGCTGGATTCCTTGTTCGTCAGGTTCAATTCCTTTAGCTGTCTCCTTTTAGTTGTCTTTATGTTTCTAAAATAACATACTGTCCCAAGTTGGGTTCCCTGGGAAGCAAACTTTGAGACAGAGATTATCATGCAAGACGTTTATTAGGAGGTGCTGCAGAGATCAACACCTGTGGAAGAAAGGATGATGGAGGTGGGGACAGATGAAGAAGTCCGGCTGTAGTTGCAAGTAGCGATCAGCCATCCCTGCTGACATGGCCCTTTAGAGATGTCCTGAGTTGGGGGTGAAGGGACAGGGCACATTGTTTACTCTTGTATTGATCATGCCTCGGATATCGACTACCTGATGAAGTGGACATAAACTTGGACGAATGGCTCTTTTCAGTTTAGGCAGTTCCTGAAGAGGGAGGACAAACTTCCCAGCAGCTGGAGAGAATAAATTGTTAAGTTCTGAAACGGATCTGGGTGGCACAGTACAGCATACCTGAGGGTCCCCCGTGTGCTGGTCAGATCCACCTGCCCCACATGAGTTCTGGGGGCAGCTACTTTAGGACTCTGGTGAGCCTCATTTTCTGGACACAAGGGGAGAGCTTGGAATAAACCGCAGGCCCTGCCACTGCAAGTGATCTCTTGACCGCAACTCGTACTCATCCTCTTCCTCTTCTACCGTCAACACCAGGTTCCCATATCTCCCATATCTCCAGCTGCCAACGCTACAAGGAGTTTGAGCCCTTGTCTACTATGGACTTTTCAGGCTATTGCTGCTGCATTTTTGCATTTACTGTTAAAGTTGATCAAAGGAGCACCTGCACACCAAACCTATTCCTTCCTGTGCCCAGAGTGTAACAGCAGCTGTCTCCCTTACTGTTGATTAGAGACAATTACCCCAACATAGCCTTTCACGAGACATTGCATGGGCCAAAGATCCATGTTACAGCAAAGGGTGAGTGAGATCCGGCTCATTCCCATGAGATATACCAGTCGGAGGCACACCACCCCAGCAGGCGGGCTCTGTAGACCCTCAGCAGGTGGTGTTGACTGATGGCCTGCAGGCAGTAAAGGCAGCCCCTACCTGAAAAAGGCAATGATTCTAATCGGTCCCTTTCAGGGTAGAAGGGATCAGACAACTTACCACATTTGTCTTCTTATAGTGGGGAATGATTTGGGGAAATGAACACTGGTGTCTGGTCATTGGAACATACAGGAGTGGTCATAGCTAGATCAGTGCCTATGAGTGGGAGCACACGCTGCTTGACTAATGCATCACTTCCCTCTAGCCTCTATGGCCACTCTGTTCATATGTTCGTTATCCCAGAACTTTCGTGCCCCATGATTGAGGTTTGTTGATACCAACTAGCTAAGTCATTTTTACTACTTGGTTGTTGAGTGATTCTTCTATGGCAGCATATGCTATCTGGTGGGCAAAGACCTTTATATTTCATGCCCACTCCTATACGTCCATCCACACGCTTCTACCTTGACCTCCTTGTCTCCAATTCTCAATTCTCCAGTCTTCCAAGTCTCCTTCTAGGTCTCTGAGAAACTGGCCAACCTATTGCCCATAAAAGTGCATGTATGTATGTGTGTGTGTGGGTGTGTATGTGTAAAAACG